ATCCCGAGGTCCTAAGCCTTGTGGCGACAATGCGTCGCGTTTCAGCAGGGTGGAGTTCAAGTTTTTCGTCTGTTCGTCCTTTTCTCTCTTTTTTTCTCTTGGAGAATTTGCTTGGAGACTTGCCCACTTTGGAGGCTGGTCCCCTAGTCTTTCCCAGATACGAGTGTCACAATAGAAAAACGGTTAGGGTGGCCGGGACCTCTTTTAGGAGTTGGAGCTCGGGAGCGACAAGCGTGACAAGCGTATCCGTAGGCTAGGCGGTTAGCGGACAGGTCGAAGGAAGGGTGTGGCTGGGGGTTTATGAGGTCGGACGATGGCAGGGCCCTTGAAGCTTCACCAAGGGACAGTGACGTCGATCAAGATTGATGAATGAGACCGTCGGCCTTTATTTCCTGGACGTAGTCGTGATGAAGCTCCGGACTGGCAATGATTAAAGGGGATATCGCAGTTGACTGAAGCTCGGATAGCTAGGGGTATCCCCCCTGAGAGTGGATATGATTGACAATTAGAGGCAATGAAGAAAATGGAGATCCAACAGCAGCATGGGCATAGGGAGAGGATAAACGGCAGAAAAAGTTGGAGTATGGATAGTCATCCGCCCAAAGCCAGTTATGCAAACAAGCCTCGAGAGACCAGCCGTTCCTCGTTTAAGCTTGTCGGGCGACCCGGGGGGACAGCTGCCGCCAGCGCCGGCGCGTGTGAGTGGTGAGGATAAATGGGCTCGGTGAGCAGTCGACGCGAACGTGGCAGGGCATACGCGGACACGTTGACGATCCCTGGATCGCTGAAGGTCCCGTACGAAGCGTGGAGGCGTATGGGGTGGAGAGGTCAGAGAAGCAGGAAAAGGCGGAGGAGACGGCACAGAAAGTGGAGAAGATGAAGGAGTCGAGCTACGGAGGAGGGGACCGAAGAGTCCGTTGGAGCACCCGAACGTCTTCAGAACCTCAACTTGAACCTCAAGTCCTGGACCAAGTCTTGGGCCAAGAGTTGCCGAGACTCCAGAGAGAGAACGTAATCACTCATACAGACAATGCTAGCCAGGACTCACGTGTCTCCATTGCCTGTTGACGCAGACAGCAACTCAATGGATCTATGTATTAGAACCAGTAGTAGCATGTGCTTCCGCTGATTATCTCTCGGGGCCGAGGGCAGAAAGACTCCAAAGCCAAGGAATGCATGGTCACCAAGTGGCTCTTCGTTCGACCCGAGTAAGGTATCCATACAGGTAGTCTGAGAAAACCACCCAAAGGCCTATGCTCCAAGATTCTGGGGCAAAATGAACCGGTCCCCGAATGCTTCAAAGACAAGAAGGGACAACACAGACGCCGCAACAACCCCTGACCCCTGACAGAATGGTCACCATTCCATCGAGGGAAAAGAGGCACGAAGCATCCTGGACGGATAGCACGAATAGGTCATCGACGGTACGGAGTAGGTATCCGTAGATAACCTTGCAAACTGCCTTGCCGTTCCGGCCACCTGGCTGTACGTTCCCGCTTTGGGTTTGCTCAACTACCGTACCTCTACATACTGTGTGGCGTTCGACGCATCAGCCCACGCGCAAAAGAAGGCTAAGAAAGTTCTTCTGCCGCCCTTCTCTTACGTGGCGTGCATGGCCGAAGGATGGCTGGCACACACACATACCTACACAATGCCCGCAGCTCATTCGTCTCACCGAAACATTCCACCGTAGAAACAAATGCACGCTAGGTACAACGCTGCTGTACCTTCGCAGTTAGACCAAGGTACACACAGAAGCCAAGCCGGGCTGAGCCTCATTGAAGACGCCATCGATTGCGTCCAAAATGTTGGCATTTTTTGACGCGTCTTGAGATCGATTGGTGAAGGCAAAATGCAACCCACACGCTGAAAAAGATGCGGTGACAGGTTTGGTATAGCCATGTACGGTATGCTAAGAAGACGCCAAGTGATCAAGACGAGGACTGATATATAGGATGGATGAGATCATTAAGAAGGGTGGAAGGGTGCCGACAAGTCTGAAAAGGTCACATCTAGAATGTCACCGCGGGAAGAAGAAATGAACCCCAGACAAAACCGATTGGCGATCATCCGGGTGCCCCGACGCATTGCTGTCCGCACTCAATCCGAGTCTTGGCAACTGACTAGCTTCAGAGATTCCCCGACTTTGGGAGGGAACATGCTGGTTCACCTCTTGATGCTTGACGACTAAAAGATCCAACTCGTTTCTCCCCCGTGCGAGTCCACGATGAACTACATCAACCCATCCACCATGAATGAACGACGGTGAATAATGCCGTGATTACCGACCCAGCAGCGGTGGCGTGTCGTCCAGAACCGGGCGCCTGTCATCTCTGCTCCAGAGACTACCTGGCAGCATCACTGCCCGCACTGCCGCCGCGACCAGCGGTTCATGCCAAGGGTGTTGAGGTGGTCAATCCATCATCAGACCTTCAAGGTTTGCAACGCCAGGCCGTGGATGAATGCGCTCGAGCACCCCTGTGGTGTCAAGTGGGTGCCCAAACGGTTTACTTTCTACTTTGCGATCTTGCTGCTACTTCTCTTTGCTTTGTTTGAATTAGTTTTTCTTCCTACCTTACCAGATGCATAGTTTGCAATAAGCATCAAGTTCAATTAGTGTAACAAGGGGATAGTAGTGTTGTGGTTAGCTCGGTATGCATTAACTGGCAACACATTTTCTCATCCACCTCAGTGTATCGCAAGTCTTCAGTTCAACCCACAATGCCTCCCGATTTCCCTATTCCATTAGATGCTCGAATTTCAGTGTTTGGGTGGTCGCCTTTTCTCCTTCACACTCGATGCAAGCTATGCAACTTTCGCAGTGAGTCGAGTAAAGAGTCCCGCTCTCTCAGTCCATAGCGATAGTTATCCTATTCGATTGACCATCAAATGCACCAAGACCAGATCTTTGAGACAATGTGATCAGTGATCATAATGATCATATCAATCGACCAATAAATAATCATCTGAAATTTGAAGCACTCCGCAATGAAATGAATGAGCATATGATGTGAAGCACCCATCTCTCAGTCTCACTCTTACCCTTCAAAGCCCTCTTCTCATACTCACCCTCACTCTCATACTCACCCTCACTCTCATACTCACCCTCACTCGTACACGACCGGCAAAGATCTCATCCACCTTTCACTGACAGCTGTCCGCCCATCGGGAAGCCGACCCCTCTCTCACCCGTCACCCGAACGTAGCCGGCTCCGGCCCCCCGCCCGCCCCTCATTGCCGACCTGAGAAGGAAAAGAACCCCGCCATCGTCACCCAAAGCTCATAGCTCCTACGCGCGAGAACAGCTGAAGCATTTCTAATCACGTCTTATGGGAAAGAAAGCCCCCCCCCACCTCCCCTCACTTCATCGGAACGCTGACTAAACCACAATTGTGACCTCAAGCGCAATCGGAAGCTATTCCAATACTGCGTATGCGTAAACGTCCCTCCGTCGTCCCATAGGTTGCAGACTAAAAATAAAGAAAAAGAGACTGAGACCTCTCCTCCCATCGCAAATGTCCCAATTCCTCATCTTGCGACCCTTCACATCCATCCGCACCCTCACCAGAAGCTCCAAATCCACGCGAATCCTCCCATCACAACCCTTCCTCACCCAAACTCACCACCAAACCCGCACCTTCATCCCATCACCAACCCGCCAAACCTCCCTCTCCCCAGCCCCGCACTTCACAATGGCCTCCTCCCTCCCCCAAACAATGAACGGGATCCAAATCCCCCGCACAGGCGGCACAGAAGTCCTAACCCACCACACCGACCTGCCCCTCCCCGCCCTCGCCGAGAACCAAGTCCTCGTCCGCAACGAGTACGCAGGCATAAACTACATCGACACCTACTTCCGCACCGGCCTCTACAAAGCGCCCCTCCCCATCACACCGGGCCGCGAAGGCGCCGGCACCGTCGTCAAGTCCCACCCCTCCGTCTCTGGCCAGTTCAAAGAAGGCGATCGCGTGGTCTACATGGGCCCCTTTGGCTCCTACGCGGGCTACTCCGCCGTCAACGCCGCTCAGCTCCTGCGCATCCCCGACGCGCTGGCCACGGACAAAGCCGCCGCCGCGCTCCTGCAGGGTCTCACGGCCTGGACTTTTATCCGCGAGGCGGGGGAGGTGAGGGAGGGGGAATGGGTCCTCGTCCACGCGGCCGCCGGCGGCGTCGGGCTGCAGCTCGTGCAGATGCTGCGCGCCGTGGGCGCGAGGGTGATTGGCACGACGAGCACCGACGAAAAGTGCGCGCTGGCCAAGAAGAACGGCGCAGAGTTCATCGTCAACTCGCGCTCGCAGGACCTCGTGGAGGAGGTGGCGAAGATCACGGGCGGGCACGGCGTGGATGTCATCTTCGACGGTGTTGGAAAGGCGACGTTTGATAGCGATATCGAGATGGCGGCGCGTAAGGGGAGGTTGGTCGTCTTTGGCAACGCGGTGAGCTCTTCATCAAACACTCAGACGTGGTCTGCTAGTCTAGTCGCATCGCTAACATATTCCTCCAGTCGGGAGCCGTTCCTCCTTTTGACATCCTCAAGCTGGGTCCCAAGAACTTGAAGGTCATGCGGCCCATTGTCAACGGCTACACTGCTACCAGGGAGGAGCTGGAAAAGTACAGCACGGAGCTCTTTGACATGATTACCTCGGGCAAGGTGGAGGTGGCCATCCACAAGGCGTACCCGCTCAAGGACGTCAAGCAAGCCCACGAGGACTTGGAGAGCCGCAACACGACGGGGAAGCTGATCCTCAAGGTGGATTGACTAAACGCACGTCTATGATATTCATGAAAGCGGGTCAACCAGGAGGTGCTGCGAGGGAGTGGTATCTTAAACTTTTTTTTCTTTTTTTAATTAAATCCTCTCTCTATGGCGGATGTCGTATCATGGCTCTCGCTGCAAATAGCACTAATTCTATCATCATCTATGATAAGCAACCAAACTTTTTTCTTTTTTTTCTCAAGATGTGGCTGATGCACTGATACATATCCGTCCCTCCTTTTGCTTAACCGCTCGTGGGCTTGGCGTTGGCAAGGAGCTCAGGGGGAGGGTCCTGTCGGTAACCCTTGGGGTTGTTGCTGACCCAGCGCCAGAGATCCTCGCACGCCTTCTCCAGTGTCTCCTCAGTCTTCCAGTTGAGCTCCTTGTTGGCCAGGGACGGGTTGGCAGTGAGATCGAGAACGTCGCCCTGGCGTCTGGGGACAACATCGTAGGGTAGATCGCGGCCGACGACGTGGCTGAAAGCCTTGATCATCTCGAATACGGTGCTGCCACGGCCGGAACCAAGGTTCCATGCCTTGACACCAGGCTTGTTCTCGCGGAGGTAGTTGAGGGCGCTCAAGTGACCCTTGGCCAAGTCGACAACGTGGATGTAGTCGCGGATGGCGGTACCGTCTCTCGAGGCGTAGTCTGCTCATGATCAGCGGGGCTTCTCCATCATTTCGCCATAGTTACTTACCGTCACCAAACACGAGGAGCTTGTCGCGGTCACCGGTAGCGACCTTGCCGAGCAGAGGCAGCAGGTTGTAAGGGACGCCCTGGGGGTCCTCACCCATGAGACCAGAGGGGTGAGCACCGCAGGGGTTGAAGTATCTCAGAAGAGCGCCGTTGAACTGCTCGTAGGGCTTGCCAGCCTTCTTCAGCTTGTTGCGCTCGGCGTTGATGTGATCAGTAATAACCTGCTCGACAAAGGCCTTGGTGTGGCCGTAGGTGTTGGTGGGGCCAATCGGGCAGTGCTCGGGAATGGGAATCATGTTCTCGAAACGGGTGGCATCGCCGTAGACAGTCGCCGAGGAAGAAAAGACAATGTTGGGAACATCGTTATCCGTCATGGCCTGGAGGAGGGAGACGGTGCCGGCAACGTTGACGCGGTAGTACTCGAGAGGGATCTCGCCGGACTCGCCGACAGCCTGTGATCAATCGTGTTAGTCTTCGTGGCACAAGGGCATCGTAAAGGAGCAAAGGAGCTGACCTTGAGCGCGGCGAAGTGAATGACACTGTCAATCTCGGGGTGCTTCTTGAAGACCTCATCGAGGCCGGCCTTGTCGGTGACATCGACCTGGTAGAAGTGGGGTCGCTTGCCGCTCAGCAGCTCGATACGGTCGACAGCAACCTTGGAAGAGTTGTACAAGCTGTCGACAATGACCACATCGTAGCCGTTCTGGAGAAGAGTGAGGGAGGTGAAGGAGCCAATGTAGCCGGTACCACTGCAAGCCACCAAATCGCGCGGTTAGCCTCTATGCTGTATTCGGACTTGCGCCAACAAAGAACGCCGTGACGGCTGGTGTCAACGGTGCCACAGGCAATAGGATTGCCATATACTTGCTAGTCAGGCGAGAAGAGGCGGTAGCTTACCCGGTAACCAAGACAGTTCCAATGGCCATCGTGAAGAAATTTGCTGGCGGCGATCGCAACTATATGCGGTGAGGGGTAATTTGGAGGTGGAGGGGGGAGAGTAGGTAAGTTGACGAAGGGTAGTGAGAGTTGCGCGGTCCGTCGGGGTATCAAGTCGTTAGGGTTTGAAGGAGAGCGCAAGTCTGTCGTGAGGTTGAGTTTGGAGGAATGACGAAAGGGAGAAGTTGTAAAGGATTGCGGGAGAAGGCGAGAGATATATCTGGCGGTTGACGTGAGGGGTGGGAATAATGAGGCGACGGTCGCAATAAGGAAAAAGTAAACGGGGTCGTCTGTCTGTAACGTCCAGGCCGAGTGATGATGTGGGAGAGAAATTGGCTCGGCCATGAGTGCCACCGTTCGCGCCAACGCCCACGCCCACGCCCACACCCACGTCTACCGGTAAGCCCACCATGCCCACCAGCGAGACCAAGCATTAGGTTGAGTGCAATGCGTGCTGCCAGTCCCAGAATGTAGGTACTGCGTCTTTTCGCAGTAGTGACTTTGGGGCCATTCGGGGCCACCTCAATGTTCCATTCGCAACGGCCAATCTGGCGCGCCAAATTGGAGGCGATGGCGGGGTCCTGCAGGCGGGGGTGGCACCAATCTCAGGCTCTGTGGCTGGCTGCGGAGCCGACTAATTTCATCCTCGATGTTCAAACGGCGCAATTGTTGGCACGCTGAAACTTGCAACGACCGGGGATCGCGGTGCCGTGGAGACTGATCTTCGTGACGGTGGACGGGCCGACAAGGTCCCTACTGATTGATCATGTTCAATGCTGCTCCTTCACTGTCACCGTATCACTGGCTTGTGTATCTTGCCATCCAGGACGAACCGAGTGAATACGGTCAGGCATCCATAGACCGATAAACTGACGAGGCCTGAGTGAGAGTCAAGAGAGAGATCGGATGACGGATCAAGAGGTGGATGGCCTGGTGGAGTGTCTCCCCGGCGCATGCTCCCCGTATCCGTATTGTTTAACCCTTCCCGGATGTCTCTTTACTGTTTGTTGGAGCGGCTGGGTGGTTGACCGGCCTAGCCTCGCCGAGTAGGTGCTTTCCTGCCCGAGTTCTCCATATGCGCATTTGCGGGATCCAGTCTGGCACTGCAGTCTTGCCATTTTGTCCGGTTGTTCGCCCGAAAGAACGAGGGTGAGGGGCCGGCGGGTGCCCGTGTTTGTAGACGGCAACGGAATGGAAGTCAGGTCTGGGCCTAGGCACATTGCTTTAGCGCAGACGAGACGGATACCATGGCTGGTCCATGGCTCAGGATTAGTCATTGCATGTTTCCCGTGCTGCCTGGCGCAGGTCTTGCATCGAGTCAAAGTGCCCTTCATAGACTCGATGTTTTGCGCGATATATCAATGGCAGGGCGCAAGGCGAGTTGGACCAAAGCACGTGTTGGGAATCGCATGTCGATGAATCTCTCCAGGATGAACCAGCAATTCGAGGTGGAGTCTCAAAGGTTGTGGGCAGGGCGTGGATCAATCGGTGACGTACTGTGTGGTCTGGATTAATGAAGTGTTGCAGCCTCAGGTTTAGATTCTCTTCCTCACCATGACAGCTTATCTTATCTTATCAATGTAAGAGGTTCATCTGCAATTCGAGGTATCATCACGTGGTCGCAAATTCAGACTGCTTATCTAAGGAACCAAGGTTCTCGCTTATGTAAGACTTCAGACTGGGCGGCGCGAAGCTGGCCGACCACCGTTGCGGGGACCTGATCAGTGGAGGACAGCGCGTGTGTGGGCAACGGACACGCTGCCAGGGTCTGAGCTTTCTCTCTCTGCGCCCGACCCCCGGTTCCTGGCTGGGCGGTTGGCGGTGGGCGGCTGTCCGTCGCGAAAACATTCCCATGTCCGGTGTGTGTGTATGTGTGTGAAGTTCCTCAAGTGAACGCTTCAAGACGGCACAAAGAACTCAACGAACCCTCGGGATATCTCTCGCCTTGCATCACTGCTGTCGCAAAACTCATTCTCCTCGACCGACACTCCATTGACCCGCTCATTCCGCACGCTCAGCCGCATTCCTTCGTCAAGCCCATCTATCTGGTCCTCTACACCGACGATCCGACGCGCGCGTGGTTTGGCGCGACTTGTGCCTGGGAAAAGATGGTCGTTGCGACCAGGGACCGCTCTTCCTCTCTTTGTTGACAATCCGCCTCCCTCCCTTCCCGATCCGGCGAGCCTGTCCCTCTGGAATAGCTTCACTTTGGGATTCTTCTCTCACTCCAACCTCCTGCAACTGCCTCCCTTGCAGCCTTCACAAAGGCACATTCGCATCCGACCTCCAACCTGGCGCCAATTCTTCTCGAGCTTTCCCTTTCGGACCCGCCTCCATTGTAGCTCAACATAGATCTCATGCTCCATTGCACCTGCCATTGTTGACGAGACAAAAGAGACCTCGAGTTACGACAAACTGCTTTTCAGAGACTCGTTGAAAACTGCAGCGCATGTCTACCCAAACAATAATAATGTGAGTTGCGTCTTTGCAATCCTTTCTCCTTCCATTGCTTCTTTCCTTCAACGCTCTTTCTTCTCGCGCTTGCCGGCAGTGAGTCTGACCTCATCGTCACTTCTACTTCGACAACTCCCAGCAACCTACCTGACTCATTCAGCCCCGTCACTCATTCCTCCTCATACATCGTATCTCTTCTCATCTTCACCGATTCTACGCCCTGTCTCATCTCACTACTACGTGGTGTTGAGTGATCTCATTTGATACACAACCCGCCGTCGCAACCCACGACTCACCATCCTCACAGACCATCCTCCGTCACACTGCGCCAAGATGCCTCCCAAAAGAAGGGTCCGTGACGATAACGGTGAGGCGCAATCCACCTTAGCCGGTGGTGCTGCCGTCAGTCGAGAGCTGCCTCCGTTGGCATCGCGACTTGACACGTCTTATGGGTCTGCACCTTCCACGATTCTACGGAACACTCGCCGCGGTCAACAACGCAACTTGCAAGACATCATCAAGGACACACTACACAACAGCGATGATTCTGATGATCCCGGTGATTCGGATAATGGCGACGAAAGCGACGATGCCAGCTCCAGCAGCAGTGAGAGCAGCAACAGCAAACAGCCAAAGCCGCCTCCTTCTCGACGCACAAAGCAAACAAGGCAAACAAAGCCACCAGCTCCCCAACCAGCGCCGAAGCCGAATCCGCCGCGCAGAGTGCAACCGAGTCCTGATCCTGACCCCGACCCGGACTTCGACCAAGACTTTGGTCCTTATCGAGAGTCGTCAGAATCCCCCGATCCATTGAGGGATGCAACACCAGATCCGCCCCTCGTCCGACGCTCACCGCGACGACAATCACCAGCCAAAACTGGTAAGTCGGACCACGTGCGCGACACTAGGTCGTGCCTTGCCGCGGTCTCGATTCCATTGCTAAACCTCGTGTCAGCTCCTCCCTCCAACGAACCTCCTTCATTCCAGCAAGGCCCTCTTGTTCCTCCACAGCAATTCTTACCGGGTGCTGCACCGCCGAGAGGGCAATTCTCAACATATTCGCAGTCGATTAATAGGAGAGCCAGCTCAGAAGACCCGGCTCAAGGTCTGACACCTGCTAGACGATCTCTTCCCGCTGCAACCTGGAACTCCGTCTTCGCTCGAGCCATATCCGAAGAGCCCTATTCCCAGTCTCGCTCTCAATTCGTTCAAGGCCCTCCGGAGCCGACTCCGACACCAGACTCAGTTCGCACCTTTGGCCAGGAAAGCTCACTCTTCGGGGGTGCTGATATTGGCTCAACCCCGTCGCAATCTCTCTCTTCAGAGCGTGGTGGTCGCTTGCAGTCGATAGAGCAGAGCGGGGAGCCCTCTCCTTCCAAAGAACAAACGAGAGGCATAGATCTACTAAGTCCATTGAGGCGCTTGGCACGCGATCCCCGGCACAACGCGCAAATGGCACAGCGTAATCTGAATCAGGCAGTCCCTCACCAAGGTGCCATCCAAGCGCCGATCACCAAGGTTTCTGATAGACCTCCTCCCGACCTGGTGCCTTTACTGCCCTCCCAGAGTACCATTCGTCCACCTCAACAGGAGCCACCAAGTACACCACCGTCAGATCGATTTCGGCCGCGCAGCAGTAAATCACCTTACCAGGTCTCACCTGCTCACCTTGTCAACCAATCTCCTGCCAAGAGAGACCCTCCAGGGTCAGTAGCCAGCTCGCGTCAGCTTGCAGCCAACAAAACTTCGGTGTCACCTTCTCCTGCCGCAAGGTCGAGCTCAACTCGTCTGTCAAGTCGTGTTAGCGAAGAGCCATCTCTCCATAATCAGTCGCCTCAAGTCTCAACCCGTAATCCTTCACCTCGCAAGCCGATGCAGGCCGTGAACTTCGTTCCTGCTCGGAGTGGACCGCTGACTGCCAAAGAAAATCCTGCACCTCCTCGCCCTCTATTTGGCAAATCTCTACCTGCCAATGGTAATTCAGTACCGTCTCGTCCCTTAGCCAAGAATCCGCCAGCCATCAGAGTAGAAGCTCCACCATCCGCGGCGGCCGGAACCGGCTCAACGAGGCTTCCCAGTTCAAGTGGCCTCTCTGGCAACAACAACAGTCGGCCAGCACTTGGCCAAGGCGGGGCCGGTATGTTCACTCCTGAAATGCGAGCAAAGATTCAACAAGAGCATCGGCAGGAACGGATGAAACAGGAAGCTCTTCGAAAAGAGCGTAATGCTCGTTTGCAGGCATGGCCACGGGTCTATAATACAGTATATGAATGGACAAATGTCCCTCGGCCGGATAGTCCCGAGACGGACGACGGCTCTGGATCCGATACAGACGGCCACATGGATTCAATTGTGACTTCGCGGCAGGTTCCCTACAGCGAGTTCTCCTGGGCAAGTTGGATCTTGTTCAAGATTGCCGACGCGTTCGTGGACTTGCTCAATTTCGTCTTCTCTTTGGACTTTTGGTTTCTCAAGGCTTCGCTCGGCGTTCTGCTTCTGTCACTCCTGGTATGGGGTGCCTTGACAGGACTGAACTCCACGCCGGCTATTGGACTAGGCGGTATCCAATGGTACGGTCTTTCAGACTTCTCACACAATCTCGGACAATTCGTCCCACTCTGGATGTCGCGACCGGCAACACTCTTCAGCGATGATGACGCTAGAGAATATGTCCGCCAACAACGCAATCACGAATACGAAATCACCAAGTTGACGACGGCCAGCAAGCTCCACGAGGGATCACTTTCGCGTTTGATGGAGATTGTTCCCAAGGTTGTGCACATGAAGTTAGACAAGAAGGGACGGCCCGTCGTGGGAGAGGAATTCTACCACGCGTTGCGTGACCTCATGAAAAGCGATGCCGAAATCTTGACCCTGAGCCGGGGTCATGGCGGCTACCACTTCATCTCCGATGAGAACTGGTTGGCGATCAAGAGCAGACTCCAGAAGGATCCCGTGTATCAGAAAGCTGCTGAACCGCCTGCGCCAGGACTATCTTCTGCGGACGTCGAGACCATTTCACAGTCCAAGTTCGACAAGACCTGGGAGAAGTGGCTC